AACCTAGTCTATCATTACCCTAATATCACAGCATTAGCCGCGTATATTACCTCAATCGCTTCTCCAGAAAACGACGAAGAAGTGGATCCCATTAAGTTGAGAACCTCCGCAATGGAAGAGATGGTGAAAAAGTATAGTGGCTCGTTCAAGCAACACGAGCCGAAGGGTGGTGTGGCATCTAAAGACGTGATCATAGTCACTGGGACAACTGGTGGACTAGGAGCCCTTTTACTCGAAAAGCTTCTCAAATCTCCGGATGTTGAAAGGGTCTACGCACTGAATAGAGGGAAAGAGGGATTAATGACAAGGCAACGCAAGGCATTCAAGGAGCGTGGGATGGACCTAGAAGTTTTACGATCAGAAAAACTCGATCTACTCGCCGTCGACCTAAGTGATGCAACGTTAGGTCTTGAAACTGACAAATACGAAACGGTATGCTTGAGATTCACTTTATTCCTAAGCTAGCTTGCTTATCATTCCCCTTCCTGTGTGGCTTTTGACAGCTTCGTGATAACGTAACACACATAATTCATAATGGTGAGTGAACCGAATAATATTGACGGGATCATCCATGTTTAGAGTCTAATCCTTAATGACAGCGTACCCGGTTAACTTCAATTTGTCCCTTACATCATTTGAACCGGCGATCAAGGATCTCCGCAAAATTATCGATCTGGCTTTAGCTTCTCCATTGGCAGAGCCACCAAGTATTCTATTTACAAGTTCTATCAGTGTGGTAAATCGTTAGTATATTTTCGGGTTTATCTTTTATCCAATTTATGCTAAGGATTTGCCTTAGAACATGACAAGCCAGGCCTCGTCCCTGAAGAAGAGGTCCCTGCTTCCTCCGCGGTCGGTCTTGGATACAGTGAATCGAAATGGGTCTGTGAAAAAATACTCGCGGCTGCATCTGCGCAGACCTCCCTCAAGAGTGTATCCGTTCGTATCGGTCAGATGTGTGGAACGAGCACGAATGGCTACTGGAACGTCAAGGAATGGATGCCAGCCTTGTTCAAGTCCAGTATTCACATTGGAAAACTTCCTGTTATTGATAACGTGAGTATGTTCGACCCTATTTCGAATCCATAATAACATGTATTCTTCTTATTAGTGCATTTCATGGATACCAATCGATATTGCTGCCGATGTTATTATTGATATGAGGAATTCTTCCAAACAAACGCTTCATCTCGCCCATCCAAGCCCTGTCAGCTGGAGATCAGTCCTGGAGCTTGCCTCGAGAGAACTGGCCTTGCCACTTGTCGAATATTCGGACTGGGTCAATTCACTCAAGCAAAGTGGGAAAAAACTTGGTTCTGGATCCAGAGCCGATGCGAAGTTACTAAAAGACAATCCTGCTCTCCGACTCATGAGTTTCTTCGACACTTCAAATGAGAAATCAGATTCTGATGACTCATACGAAGCATTCGGTATAAAACGACTTTCGTTGGAGGAATCAATGAAGGTATCACCTTCGTTGAGAAATGCTCAAGCTAAAACATTAACAGGCGAGACTGCGTTGGAATGGCTGGCTTCATGGAGGCGTGAGGGTTTCATCGAGGATGATTGGTAAACGGATTTGTATCAACAATTTATCGGATTTTTATTTTTAATAACTGGATAAGGTGTTTTTCTTAGTTTTGTCTCTGTATTATATTGTACAATGTACCAGAAAAAATGTTGTATCCCATCAGCTTTCCGTTCTTTGACCTGCGTACAATCGGTTCCTGCTTCAAACCCTGGGGTAAAGGAGAGTATACCATATTGCGCGCAAGCCAGGTGCTTCATTGGAGTCAGTGAATCCTCAGCACGTGAAGGAGTGTCATCATATGGGAGTGTATGTCCTAATAGAAGAATGTATTTAAATTGAGGTTTCGGACGGACGATATACCATTTTCGGCCACAATGGGGATGATGTTTCTAATGAATTGAGTCAATATAACAAAGATATATACGAAAACTTCAAAACGTACCTATGATCCTAATTGTACATATTTTTATTTGCAATACGGGAGACGATGCATTAATCTAATGATGTCTATCTCATGATTGCTTTTCGACTGGGGGGCTTGTCAAGGGATTCTCCTTAGTAGCCTCAGCAAGCATCTCATCAAGGCCTTTGTCTTTCACCGCTTTCTGATATTCTTTTGAGATATGGCCAGATTAGAAATGAGTTAACTTACCTGAACACATTCTTTGTATTCTCTCCATATTTTACCACACTTCTCTTCGTATTCCTTTGCCTTTGCGGCTGTGTAGGCAGCTCGTTGGTCTGGAGAGGCTGAAACTGCGGGTTGTAGGTAGCCTTCAAACCATGCATTAAAACACGAGTCGTACGCAAGCTTAGATGGCGTGCACTCGTCTGCTAGACTGTGAGCCATGGTAACTTTAAATACGAAAATGTGTTTTGAACGAGGTTTTTTTAAAGAAAGGGTAGGAAGGAGAACGCGCGTGTCGGGTCGGACATGGATTCGCGTTGTTTCGGCAACGGCGACCTAATTGTGTCATCGTTTCTCTGTGAACTTACCCGATTCCATGTACTCAAAGAAGTATCACCTAAGCTAGTACTGGGTTTGTTAGAATGAGCTCGAGTGTACTCGAGAATGATGAAGCGATACGGAGAGAGAAGGATTTCTTCTAGTACGTTTGGACTAACCAAGAGGTCTCTATTTCTTCATTAACGTAGTATCGTAGTGCCGTCTTGAACCTTCCTATCAGTGCAACAGAGACTGAAGTTAAGGACAGATATAGAGCACTATCTCTAGCCTTTCACCCGGACAGGCAACATGATGAGCAGCTGAAGGAAACTGCAAAGAAGAAGTTCCTTGAAATACAGGCCGCCTACGAAGGTAGATTTATTTTGTTTTATTACCCCCAGTTTTAAAATAAGGAAGCTTATATTTTTCTCTCTGTAGTTCTTTCTGACCCCTTTCTCAGGTGAATAATATTTTTATAAAATTTAAAATGGAATAAACCTATCTTATTTGATAAAGAGAAATTTATGATACTCTAGGTAGGAATACTCAATAAATTTTTACTCAAATGCTGACAATTATCATCAGGATATGATGGGCTTAAACTGAAACTCCCGGATCATTTCAAAAAACTCCCACTCGACGAAGTATGTCAATTGATAATAATCGATCTTATATGTGCTTATAAAATAATAGCTCCGTACAGCACTCCGAGAACTTTTATTTGAAACCAGGTTGGATGGATTGCAGTCCCTTGTGGGTTCAAAAGCGGCTTTGACCCTTTCTTTGGATGCCCGGGATTTCGTACGAGGGGGAGACTACACTAAAACTTGGCTTGCAAATGCGGGACTTAATGTTTCTTCCATAAGACATAATTTCACTGTATGCCATCTTTTATCTATCCTGATCTAACTTCTCTAACAAGAAAGCAGAAACGTATAAATGGGCAGACCACCCTTCAAGTAACAAGTAGAATTGGGAATACGGAAATCAACGCCGATGAAGATATAAAAGTTGTCGGCAACCGGATTACTCTGTTACGTGGAAATGTAGTTGGAATCATAACTCACCGGTATTCTCCCTCCAAACAATTACAGGTCCGCTTTTTATAAAATGTCATTTGAAGTTTATATGTGCTTACTTTTAAAAAGGTGAAAACTAGCCTAGCAAATCCACTCTCTCCGACTGTCTCATGGATGCACGAGGACAAGCTCAATAGCATGCGTATTTCTGCCCCACTGCGCTTTCAGTCTATCCCACCCCCAATTACCGTGTCACTAAGAAGACGATTATTTCCTTCTTCTCTTACTCTCGGCTCCTTTGAAGTTACGCTTAACCGCCAATCTCCCACACTCAACGTGAGTATAGTTAAGCCACCAGTATTATCGGCAAAGGGGAAGGAAAGAGGGCCTTCAATCACAACAGGATGGACAACAGGTTTAAGTCTACGTAGCTTATATAAAGGCGGACCGGCCGCCTTTGCTCAGTGTTCGACCGTCATCACCGATTTGAAGCTAGCCCTTACATCCGCTCTTGAATACGGTCTATTCACTGGACCGGCATGTGTTTTAAGTGGGGAATGGTCAGATAATGAGATTGGGACAGAAATTGGAGCTCAAATTGCCTGTAACCTTCGGGGTGTTCACCTTAAAATAAATCTCGACTACCTTGGACAGTCAATTGTGCTTCCCATTACGCTGACGGACGAGTACGCGCCAAGAGTCGCCTTGGCCGCCACACTCGTTCCTGCTGCTGTTTTCTTACTTGCTGATTACTTCATCCTTCGTGCAAGACGTGCTGCTAGGCTTCAACGGTACGTACTTTGGTTGCATATAAATATATTGTACTGTGCTTAAAAATTGTTACAGACGAAAGGATGCAAGTAAACTAGCAATACAGGAACAACGTGATTCTAAAAATGTTGAAGCAAAGAAAACGGAGGCTATGCTCCGCGATGTAGCCAGGCGTATAAGGGAATCCGAAGGATCTAGAAACGGTATGATAGTTGTTTACTATTTTGGTCTTTATTTTAGCTTAGATATTATTATCAAGGTCTAATCATAACCGAGGCACGCTATTTCCCCGTCGAAGACTCTGGAGCACCGATAGCAGACATAGGCATTGATGTTACGATTCCTATCCAAGCTTTAGTTCATAAAGGACAGTTATATATTCCTGGTGGACGATCAAAGGTTTGCATTTTTCTTACCAATCTATGAACAACGACTCAAACCATTTTAGTCGAGTTTAAATGGATTCTATGATCCTCTTCCAGATTTCGACAAACGATTAAGTGTGCGTTATGATTTCCTTGGGAGGAAACATTACGCAGAAGTGAGTGAAAACTCACCTTTATTATTACCCTTAGAAAGTATGTTCCTTTTTCCTTTAACTACTCATCCCGAGTTAAACGATCCGGCATCTAGGTCATATTGTGGAGGAAGGGAAAGATAATACAAAGTGATATATGTTTTACAAATGTTAATATGCATGTTTTAGATATAGTACATTTTTTTTCATACTAAATTACTGCTCCCACTTCGTACGAGAGGTTTTGAACACTGAAACCATGCCAATTGGTACTGCCCCTGCTTCGACAATAGCCAAACTTCCGAACTTTTTAACCATCTCATCGTGGTATAAACCAATAATCCATCGCCAATAAGGACTTAATGATTGCCAACCATTTTTAGTCTGTCCAGACAAGAAAGCGCCGATCCCATCTCCAAGGACTGTTAAGGCTGCTTCGAGTTTGGGGGTACATACGAGTTCAAAGTTTTCTGGGCGAGATAATAGTTCCTTGTAAGCCTGACCCCACCACTCCGCTCTCTCTTCCCGACCGGAATTAAATTCTTCAAAGGAGAAAAATTCAGTATCTGTAACTGAAGCCTGATCCCGCTCAGCAGTTTCCCAGCGTTTTTTCGCAATATCATATTCTTGAGAGTCCCTCATTTTCGCACGTCTGAGTATCTCGCCGACAGATTTCTCTTTGAAACCTTCGGTGACAAGTAAGAGTTCGATAAATGGATCTTTTAGTTCGAGTCCTCCAGCGGCATTCGGCCAAAAGAACCATCCATTCGGGATATTCTCTGTCCTGATTTTTAATTTGTCTTCAATCATTCGAGAGATGACAAGAATAATATTTGGCCCAAATAATCCACGTTGTATCCGTGCTAGTGAGTCGATAATCTGATCTATATGTTCTTTTCCATATACAAAGGAGGGAGTACCACAATTACGAACGAAGAAAGACATATATTTGTTGTAGGCCTGTACCCAGCCGAAAATCGAGTTCGTTGCAGCGAGTTGACGACGCAGCTCTACAATATGTTCATCAATCATCGCCGTATCTACAACAAAACGTCCATCTGTATCCGATCCCATACGGAGGAAACCCCACCGTAAGTCGCCTTCGGGAAGTCCTGATGACGGTGTTGAGGATCCAATAGTAACAGAACCAGTCTTTTCCTTATTGAATGTCAAACCAGATAGTGACGCAAAGTGAAGCATTTCACTCCAAGCAGCTTCACAGCGGGAAGGGGTGGGATCCCAGAACCAGTAGTCATCATGAATCCGGTAAAGGAAGAGTCCATCGGCGCGTTGATTTACCGCAAAGTCCATGACGAAGAGGACCACTTCACCACAGAGTGTACTACAAAATGAATAATTACTAAGTAAGTTTCTGAGTTACAAGACGAAGACATACCTCAATAAATATGAGATCGGAACACCACGTTTCCTAACGCGCGCTATCCCTGAGGGATCATCCTTGAATACAATGGGGCAGGATAGGAAGGTAGTTAAAAAGGAGATGAAATCCTCCGACACCCCAAAGAACTTGAAAACGGTCCTTATAGTATCAAAGGGTAAAGAAGGGCCAAACCACTCGAGATCAGTGCGGACTACCGAGCAATGCCCATATAGTTCCTTATTCATTACAATATCGGATGCAAGAATATGTAGTAGTGACTGTTTCAGATCTACAGGGGTATCAAAACGCGGCCCAAGATCGCTCTCGCTGTCTGATTTACTCGAGTTATATTGATCCTTCGTAACTTCGAATTTGGATGGAAGTTGGCAGACAAAGAAGTGGTCCTTTTGATAGGAGCGACGAATTTCGGTAATAGCTTGCACTCTTGGCTCCCTTCTGAAGAAGGCATCACGCCGTCTATTCATTTCCCTATCAAGTACCTGAGGTCCCTGTTTCCAGGCTCTACTCGCTCGAAGTATTTCAAAGCACTGCTTGAACTCTACTGACCAAACTAGGCCGACATGATGAAGAAGGAGGCATGTAAGTATTTCAGAGTCCAGATGGAAACGAGTCCTGCCATTAAGATGACGGCGTGGCTCGAGCACGACACCTTCTTGAGGCCAGCTCCATGTTTTCAGAGTAGAAATCTGCATATTTAAAACACTCGCAAGCTCCTCTATGACGGTAGGATTCCGCAAAAATTCTTTGAGTGTCGCTGCTTTCTCCTCAGAAAGGACATCAGTCAACAGCACAGATTTGATAACGGTCTGAAGCTGTTCAGTAGAAATATTAGTTTTACACAGATTCTCGCCAAACTTCTTGATGCGTTTACGGGTGATTTCAAGAGCTTCTTCGGCCTCCTTAGAAGAGAAGAGTGACCTTAGATACTCTTCGAAAGCAACGACGTCAATGTCCTTAGATTCGAAAATAAGGGATTCAAGCTTTTCCTTCTGCTCAACAGTTTCTTTCCTCCCGATGTTCTCAAAATCTCCTCCACCAGATTCCATGTCAGCATGCTTTGATTTCAACCAATCCATGAGGAGTTGGCCGAAAATTTGCGCGAACTTATAACGAGTTCCTTCGTGAGCAATTTCTTCCTCCGCCCGACGTATCCATTCTTTCAATACTGGTTTAGGGAATCCTGGGTCCCGATACGCGTGTTCAAGGAAACGATTCATATTCGGTAAGTTAAAGTCATCAGACCATGCACCAGGCCATGCCTTAATTCCTTCGACAAGAGTTTTGAGTTGGGAAACATAGTCACTCTGAAGAGCTTTGTCTCTAGCAATATTCGACGCGTGTTCCGCAAATTTTTGTTGGCGTTTACTAAGTTCGTGTAGCTTGACATCAGTGATAAATTGAAGAGTTTCTCCGAAAGCTTCAGTTGGCATGATGATTTGTGGCACTGAGAATAAGTAGAGCTATCGCAGGTAAGTCAAGACTTGACCAATATGATGGTATATATTTATCCCCTCATAATGCGTCTAGTAAAACATCGATTTGCTTCTAGCACAGCACGGGGTTCAACCTCGTGTATTACATCGTAGTCAGTGTGACTCTTTTCGTGTCATGTTCGGTTCAACTGATGCAATCAGTAATTGACTCAGGAGTGAAGCATCACGTGGGAAGAAGTTGTAGTGATATCATATTTACTACTACATCAAGTAAAACTTTGCAGACATCAATTCAGTAAGAGACCATCCATTCACGCTTAAAACTACCCTTCGGACGTGGATAGTAATATGTAGCTATACGAAGCATATGTTTTTCCACTATCAGTCCATAGTATGTATAATTTAAGAATGTCTATACACAAACTAAGAAACAAAAAATTCAGTTATATTACACAAAGCACCGAATCCACCGAATAGAAATGTTAATATAGAATGAATTAAAGTTCAATTTCTGCTGCGATTGCCAAATTCTGCTTAATGAGAGGCAATGACTTATCATTCCGGGGTACTATGCGGCATTGGTACGGCAATGGCCAGCTATTTGGTACATAAGCACTGTACTTGAGCAATTATTCACGAAATTTACCCACCTATTTAATCCAGAAATAAATGCTTGAGGGTCTGGCAGAATATCAGCTCCTTGGTCATCGACTGCCGGCTTTATGTCAAAAACAGTCAAAATGTTTGCCATGGCCAACCAGATATCCGCTTCCGCAAAGTATCTTCCAGGACATATTCTTCCAGTACAAATTAATCAGATTACGGGGGAAATCACTTCATGAAGTAATTGAAATACCGTCTTCCGAATCCGAATATGGCGGCTCTGGAGTCAAGGATTGATGGATCCTTGAAGCGATCAGGATCAAACTCTTCGGGGTTGGTATAATTTCGTTCATCATGCATCATATGCCTTTAAGTAAGTAAGGAGTAAGTATAAATGAGAAAAGTGGGACATCAACATGCTAACCATATATTTGGCATAATAAGAGATCCTTTTGGTATAAACTTCCCTTCCAGTTCATCATCTTCCATCGACATATGTGAAATACCTTTTAACACCAAGAAATCAATAAAAAAGGAAGTAAAAGACTGTTATCACGTTGCTAATACCTAAAGGAAACGGGGGGCGCCATCTTTACTCGACGTTAATATGTACATCAACTTATACCAAGATGAAGCTTACCGCCAGCATTCTTTCATGATGTAAGTGATATAAGGTAGCTTATCCTTGTCTTCCATAGCTGGTAGTCTTTCACCCCTAAGGTAGTCGTCAAGTTCCACCTGAGCCTTCTTTACTACTTCAGGATGAAGAACCATGGCCATGAAGAATACAAGTAGAGTTGAGTTAGTCTTAACAGAATAGGAATTAAAATTCGTTTATATAAAGAGCCATTGAATCTTACTGTAGCAACTCCAGCTAATATTATTACGTTAGCTTTAGGTGCATGTACTTGATTTATTTTAACCTACCACGATACATCGAAGCACAAACATCCTTTATGGCTTCATATCGAACCTCGTCATCTGCTCCACTTTGTTCATATTCTTCAAGCATACGGGATAACAAAGAGTAAGGAGCTTTTCCTGCTTTCTACAGATATAATCAGAGAAGATGAGATACATCCTTATTTATATGAACAAATAATTATAGGGTCTCTTACACGCTGCTCTTTAACCATATTATAAGGCTGAGTTGCCATGTCATACAAGGCATCTTTCCCCTGTTCTGCCATCTTCTTGAATTTTGCTCCTGGGAAGAAGGAAGGGAGATATTGGACTTTATCCCGTGATTCATCATTTAGCTCATCAATTCTTATTAATATATAATAACTTACGAAACGGGAACAGGTCGACTAAGGTTGATCCGGGTGGCCCAGGTCTAATAATGGTGCCTTCTGAGTGGGTATTCAATGCTATGAGCGGGTCATCCTTTGGTAAAACGTAATATCCGTAAGTTGAACAAAGAACAGCTGATGCTGAGAACCTATATCGTATCACTACTATAGCGCTTATCGGAAAAATCAGATTAGTAACCCACCTTTTGATTTTATCTGGGAAGTTTACTGGTTCCTCAGCAAGGTCGATAAGGAGATTTGCAGCTGCTTTTGCTTGATGAGGCTGGAATGCAACAACTGCGCGCATATTGAGATATTGCTGGAGTAATCTTCGATGAAGTCTCCATAAGTCCCCATAACGCATAAAAGTCACAGAGCGGATCTTAACCCTAGATAAAGAGACAGTCTGTGTTATTCGCTGAGGATTTCCCATATAAATAGAGGTTGTCATACATTTCCACGATGTAAACCATACGAGGTCTGTCCGAGTAAGTTGAACTTCGCTTCTCCATAAGCTCCCGAGCATGCTCGAACTTATTAAGAATGATTACAGGGCGTCCCAGAGCTTTCATGTATATAATATCTCCTGTAATATTTAATGAGTAGAAATATTATATGAATCATTTGATTTGTACCGAATATTTTTGACCAAGCAGAGTAAGTCCTCCATTGGTACTTTGACAATATTACGCCTAGATTCCCTATAATCCAGTTTCCCTTCGGGCCAGGAGGAAGACTTGCAAGACTCTGTGTCTTAAGCTTATTTTTGACATAAAGAAGGATAGCAGCACCAAGAACTACAAGCGTTACAGAGCCCTTCATGTTGCACTTCACACAAGAGATAGCTGGTTGTCAGACTATCTAAGAGTGCCTAATAATACTGTTTCTGATGTGAGGTAACCTACGTGAGAATATCACGGAGATGGTACACGTGTGATACAAGCCGCATTGATGGTATACTAATAATATCAAAAACTGAATTGAGACAATTTCAAAAACTGCGATCTTACATACATACGGATAAATGATCATCCTGCTCACTTCTTCGGAGAGCGCTACTATGGTTAAAGAATAATCCACATCCGTGCATAAATGAACATATGAGATAAGAATAGACACTGGTTTAATCGTAGACGAACAGAGAGGTTTTACTCGATAAAGGATGCGGTATCGCTTCTCTAACTTAATGGACTGATATAGTTACATCTTGCACGTCCGAAATCTAAGTTGTTGTTGTTTACATCAAGACGATATTTTCAAAAAAAAAAGATAGTAATTTGAGAGGAGCCATTTCGCAACTTTTTTTTAGAAACCGATTTAATATAACAATTGCACAGTGACGTAATTAAATTCTTCAATCACCTGGCTTCAAATTTTCAGGTTTGTTTGTGTACTGTAACTGTGTACTAAATTGTAGTAATAAACACTGGTAGATACACTCTAGTACTTAGACAATATTGGGCGTCCTTCTTTCTCAATTAACAAATGCAATAGCCTCTGCGCCTCATTCCATAATGTATCCGGTAGCTCAGTCCACTGAATTTCCCAGTTCTTGCTTATCGCCTCGGATAACTTCTGAAAATCTATAGAAATCTCACGCTTGGTTGGTCCCTCCGTTGGATCATTGAATTCATACAAGAATCCGCTTCTTCTGGATGTATCGACTACTCTGTTTCCAAATGGACGGCGCACCTCATTATAAATTTGAAGAATTTTGCTAATGGAAAGTTTTGTAGCATGGTGACTTGCAAGCAACCGCCCAAGAATAAATGAGTCCTTGAAATGTGAACATTGGGTGGATGCCCCTAGCAGGTGAGATACAGAAAATGTATACTAACCTCAATTGCTTGTCCAGCACCAGCTCCAAGATGCGTTGTCATCGCATGTGCAGAATCGCCAACCAGAGCAACGGGTCCATCTGTGTAAGAAGGAAGGTTTAGGATATGACTTATAGCCCATTTTGATGGTGATTCAACGCACTAGAAGTAAGACAATCTCTTTTAGAAAAGAAATGCGGTAAAGGCTTATGAGAACTGACATCGAGGAGAGCAATAAGCTCTGGTTCCCATCCTGAGTATTGTTTCGTCAGTTCTCTTTTCTCTACATCAATGACTGCTGGTCCTTCTAGTTTCTTTCCTTCCCCTCCAAGGACAGTAACAAACGCTACAATGTTAATAAATTTACCTTGAGAAATGGGGTATGAAACGACATGCTAGTCAAATCACTTTTCATTCTCGTCCCACCGATTTAAATCCACAGTGACGCTCACTTTATTTTTTCCACAATACTAAAATGTGTATATTGTTAGTAATTTTAGTTAAGGAATTCAAGAACAAAATGCCTAACCATCATAAGGCTCCTTGCTGCTTGATGATGGGGGAATTTATTAATAAGTTTTTGGGTTTCTACCAAGGCACGATATGCGTATGTTCCTGACCAGCTGGCTTCTATAAAACTGCTTAAGCATTGTGCCCTCTCCTTATTCTCTTCTCTCTTTGACATAGAAGCATACATTGATGCCCTAGTAGCCGACTTAATTCCATCAGCCCCGATAAGTAAGTCAGCACAAGTACTTGTCCCATCAGAAAAATGGAGTGACACTGCTCCGTCAGTCTCGGGCTGGCTATATGTTACGAGACGCTTTCGGAAATGAGCTTTGAACATTGGAGGAGGAGGTAAATTATCGGTTAATACTTTTAACATGTCGGCTCTATGGAACGTTACTGATCCATCTACATCAAAAAATGTAAACAGGGTGTCCAAGGGCACAAACTTAGTTGCTGCTTACGAGGAACAATGACAGTGTGGAAAGTGAAACCATCTGAACTAGTATCGCTCTTTCTGAATATGAATCCAGGCCCTTGTTAAAGCCACATGAACTATTGTTCTTCTATACCACTAGATAACTCACCCATCCCCTCCACAGGGGGCTCAACTGCCAGCTTCTCTAGCCCCACATCAAGGCCAAGTTCTTTCAGAATGACCCAGGTGCGTTTCCAAATAGATATGCCCGCTCCGATCTCAGTAAACTGAGGGAGGGCCTCGTAGAGATCGATATTAATATCACTACAGTACTTTCCTAGAACAACAGCAAGAGATAAA